GATTAAATGCCCTCTTGATAAAAGATAGTATAGTAAAAGTAATCTTTAAATAATTGAAAAGAAATAAAATGCACTATGATCATACTCTTATTAACAATCACTTTTCAGCTATATAGGTCTTGAACCGCCGAGGACATTTGATTGATTCATTGAGCAAATGACCACTAGAATAAGAAGGAAAAGAATAACAAATTTTTACTAAATTGACTAACATTTGATAACTTAAGCCAAAGACTTTATTTGAAATCCTGAATTATAAGAAGATAGCTTGTTTAAACGCAACAACTTAAACTATTCTTGTGAATGTAAGTCCAGGCGTCTAGATTTTGTTTGATATATTATTGATTCTGGTGGATAGTTGAGGTCTTAATATTCCATCAAAATCAATGAGGAGGTAAGGAGAAGTGCCGCTCAAATGAGATAAAAAATTATTTTTTGTGCATTTCTCACTTCCTTTCAGGCTCTTGTGTCCAGCTTGATGGCATAGTGACAATTTGACAGATAAACTGGCTGTGCCAGACAGTGATTTGGCGTCACTGAGACTTAACTTTTCAGTCAATAAAATTAATTGGCACGTGCTTGAGACTCCCTAACCTGAATTTAAAATCCAAAATATCGTCCAATAGGAATAATTTTACGATGTTTTCAAAAGGATTACTTCACCCACGCTTTGTTCGTCTTTCCTGGCATTAATGAAAATTAGCGCCTTGGCGGAGATTATTCTATTGTCAATTGCCATAGAAACGCAATGAGCAGGACCTAGAAACACACAGCAACTAACCATCAAAGAGGATGAGCTTCTTTGCCAAAAGGATTACATTAAGAGATGGTCCTTAATTATTGCTCAATAAGAATGGATACCAATTTGGAGTAACAAAAGCACAGTGAGAGAGGGGGGCGCAGTACTATCAGATGGAGCATAAATCAAATATTAATTAAGTTGCGACAGTCAAATAATGAGTATTGTGGTTTAGAAGACACTAAGAGTAATATGTCCTATATTTTTAACAATAGAAAACCTAATTAAGTACAAACAAACCACACCGTATCTATGAAGACTCAGAGGCCACTACCCAGTGTGTTAGGCTTTTGAAGTTTGAGGCCTGCGCTTTCAGTGCTTATCGATCGATTTTGTATGATTTTGTGAAATAAGAGACACATTTAACTTTGAGCCGGGATTCAGTGGCCAATTACAAGAGTTAATAAAAGCGGAAAGGGAATCAAACCAGGAGTTTCTCGGCGAGAATTCTCTATGGTACCAAGCCCTTAGCAAAGATGCGAGTCCAATGATAAGTTTATTTCAACCTAATTATCTTGCCTCTCCTGGCAAATTTTGTTGAAAAGTCTACTTGCAATCACGGTATGCCTGGCAATAGCAACCGTAGACTAAAAGTTTATATTCACGGCAATAATAACCACAAAATGCCGCGTCAAATGGAAATACCAAATTAGTGTTGATAGATTTATTTTTAGATTTTATTTAGTGCTGGCTGCTGGGTTAGCAGGCAAATGCATTATCGCACAAATTTAATCAATAATGGAAAAAAATACGAAATTGTTCATAGACTTAGACTGCTAAATCATTTTAGAACTTACATTTTTAATTTCTATACTCAAATGTGAAATATAGTGGAGAGGGGTATAAAGAATTAAACCACTTTGAGTAATTTATATACTTCCAATAAAATTTTACTAACTTCACAATTGAATAAGATGAATTTATAAAGAGCTTTGAAAATGGTATGAAGAAGTTAAGAAAGAATTTTTTGTGCTCCATCTTTACCACAGTCAGTTGACAATAGTGAATCCAATTAAGAGGTGTTGAACTAGTTTGAAGGCATGTACTAAAATAGCACTTTGCCGAATATACTTCAACTACATTAAACGTCCATGGTGTCATCGGTTTCCTCTGTAACAACAAGGAGGAATTCTTCAATTTTTGTAAAAAATTGATTGACATAGACGCAAAAAATGTAAGTCGTTGAAATTAGAAAAATATTCAAAGTTTAATCTTGCTTGATTAAGGCTAAATGTTTTAGCGTTTAACAATTCAACATATCCGGTTTGCAAAAAATGCACATTTTAATAAAATGCCTTAAAAGGGGTTAAACAATTGCATTTAAATTAAAACAGCCGATCGCACATCCAAGTACGATAGTTATAAAATTATCAAATAAAATTGGACAATTTTATTCGAAAGACCGTTGCGTTAAAATTCCATTTCATAAAAAAGCAAAATTAAATGTCATTTAAATAATTTTTAAAACAGTTCGTATATATAAGTGGCTTTTGCCTGTTTACTACAATTTACGGCTTGATAAAAGTTAATATTAGTAGAATTAAAATGAATAAATTTTCACTAGTGTTCTCTTATAATTGAAACTACAGACGCGATTTTTTCAAAAATTATAGATCACCATATTTAAATACTCAAATTTAAATATTTCATAAAGTCAATTTTAGAATTTTAAGGAAAAAACAATTTTGACGTGGAGTTATTTTTATCAGAATCTGCGTGAAACCAATTAAGTTAATGCTTGCCATGGTTTAATTTTATGATGAGCTGGAGTAATAGGGCAGATCACCTATGCAGAGGCAAATTAAAAAATTAAAAATTAGCTTTATCTGAATGAGCAGTGTCAAGCCCAAATAGACAAAGTCCGAAATCATCAACCGAAGTTGAATTACATTTGAAGTTTCTTGGATTGGGATATCAAGCCATTTTTAAGTGATCAGCCTATAGCTTGGCTCAACAGCCCACCAAATTTTCGCTTTTATAAGGTAGAACACGCATTGCAAGTTATTTACACTCAAAGGACTCGTTTCTTTATCCACAACTTGCTTAGCAGAAGCAAAATTTTTACCCAAACAAAACCTTGATAATAATTTATTTGTTCCGCAAGATAGCTGGAATGGAATTGGTCGTATAGGATTCAGAAATTCAAATAAAAAGGGCTGGTTAAATCTACTTAAAACATCGAAAAATACTGCATAACATTGGTTGTACCAGTAAAGTACCAAAACCGATCGGTCCAGCTGATATTGCAAATGAAGACTGTAACATTTTCTCCAATAGCCTCAAATCCAAGCTCAAATAGAAGCCGTTGCATGTGGTAACCAAGGTCCCATTTTCTGACCCCATGGTCAAGTCCTTTTCAGGGAGAAACTTTAATATGGTGGACTCCCCACCTCTCCCCTAATAGGCCACTTTTGGGACTTGAAACAGTTTGTAATTGCTACAATATGAAACTATATAATTTTGCCAAGACGAGTACCCAACGCGTTATATTATCGAATTGTTTAATTACGAGATATGGGACTATTTTTGAGTCAATCAGCTTCTAGCAGAACCAAAACGAAAGAGTTCAGTGGTTCAATGCTTCCCTACCACAAAGTCCCACATATATCTTTTTTGTAGTCAGTATTAAACACCAGATCGAATCACTTAATGGTCGGGATTCAATCAAAGGAACGATTGATAGAAACGATGAAAGCATTATTTTTCCTAAGTGGTATAATTACCGAATTCCACTTATTTCTCCATTTTGCTTTTACTATCAGGTAGGTAAAATCCACTTTATTCATTAAGCCATCTCAGTAGAAGTGGAGCTTTAACTGTCAACCTACCTCGTTGACTGCCTAGCGCTACTTTCACTCTCGTTATCCACCAAAAATTAAATTCACTGCAAGCGAGCTGATACAAGGACTTGGACAATAATAGTTGGGTGATGGGGGGGGGTGGGAGATGGTGCTGTCAAATAAGATTGGAAACCGTTCTTTTAAAGGAAACAATGGAAATCGAGCTAAAAGAAGAGGGAAGGATAACTATAACCGGCCCAAGTGGATTGAATTGCAGCTAAAGCCACTAAAAGAAGAAGAAACATTGATGACTCTGACGTGACGTGGGACTAAAAGGAGGGAAGTTAAGGAGATATTAGGGAACGAAGGGTTTATACATTATAAAAGCTTAAATCACTATTAAATTCAGAAATAGTTTCTTATGGTCATTTTGAGAAGTAATATGAATTCGTTCATGAAAAGGCAGTAGCTGCAATTCAACTGATCCGCCACAAAAATTCAAAGTAACTAATAAGGAAGAGGAGCTTTTGATGTAACTCGTGTCTGCTATATTTCCGGGGATGGTTGCCAACAATTTTAATTACGACACGAACAATGAGTGTCTAAAAAAGTCACTTCAGTTTATATTGTAAAAAGCATATAATGCACTCGTATTCGAATGCATTTGTACAAAACTAAATAAAAACAAGTCTACCACACTACTATTCCTGTGCATTCGGACCGACTGAATATTATGATATCTCGGTGCTCAAAGGATTGAATGTTAAGTAGAGTGAAAATTTTGTGGTCAAATTATATGTCCAATCATAAAGCTTGCTGCCACAGCGAGCTCCGGATGAAAGCGAGCCGCTAATTCGTCTTACGACTCTCCCTTCATGTGGCAATAAAAAGCACCCTCCTTCCCCCCCTGTTTTTATCGTCGAATCACTCGTCGAGTTCGAGCTAGACCCTCTTTGGAGAGCTTCCTCCATGGAACTACTTTTTTATTCGTTTGCAAACAGAAGATTGTAATCTCCAAATCACGAACAATTAATTCCTTAGTAACTAGACTTTAAAAAGTATGAGTATGCGTTGTGCTTAAGAAGCAATTTAATTAGGTTAAAGAACGCTAAATAGCAAGTTAGTTTTTAATTGCCCTAAAATTATGAAGTAAGAAAATCATAAGTAAACGCTACTTTTAAAAGATAGAGAGGATATTTTATAGACTATGATGTACAGTATTGGCCTTATGACTAGTTGTCTGAGAAAGTTCTACTACGTTAAGTATATCAGAAACAGGTGACTTAAGTCATCATTTTAAACGGTGGACCATTAGTCTTCACCCTATGAATATGGAGCTGTGGGAGCACCCAGATTTGACCCAAATCAAAGAAATGTCGTAAATCGATTCTCATAGGAACGTGCAACCGAAAAACTGTCAATCATAAATTAGGAAAGCCAGAATTACTCACTTTCTTGTTCTTGCAGTAGTTCTGCAGCATCTGGACTTCTTGCTGTGCATGCTGTCCATAACTATTTGGAGTCCGTATGCACGTGGTCTGGTTGGAATCCTGTAGAACACATTCATTGCAAATCGCTACACGACAAGCACAACAGAAGAGATTGGCAGTTTCATGAGGATGTTCAGGACAAATAGGAGGTTGATTCTGGCGTTTCTGACGGACGATTTCTGCTCCAGTTGCAGCTGGATGAAGTCCATGTTTGAGCAGAGGTCCGCGGTTAGGATGGCAACGTTCTCTGCAGTCATCGCAGTAGAAAATTCCACATTGTTCGCACCAAAATGTTGCAGGAGTTCCAGTCTGAGATCCACCTTCTATTAATCGGGCACCGCCGATCGATAACGGATCCATGTTCAGGGGGTCAGGTTCATCACAGAGTTGACATATCGGAACACCTTGGGATCTGGGAGTACTTTCTATAATTATTCCACAAGTAAACAAATCCTCCCCGATTAATTTCGTAAGGACCCGTTCAAGAGCTCTGTTTCTGGGGAGTTGATTAATCCCTTTCTCATCCATCAGGGCTACTATTCGACGACAAGAAGGACAGGCAAGACCATTGGTTAGATTTTGGAGAACGTGTTGGGGAACTAAAGTGGGATGGGAGATCTGGGTGTTTCCTGTTACATTGGGACAGATTATAGTAGGTAGTCGACCTGCATAAATTCCTGCTCGGCTAGCCATTACAACCCCAGAATCAGCTTCGCTGACAATACTCTGTTGATCTGAATCTGTTCCTCCATGACTAGTTCCACTAACCGTAGAGCTGCTGCCTTCCAGATTAGATTCATTATGAACAATAGCTTCAAATGTGGCAGAGGGGCGCTTTTGGGAGTTGCTAGCAGCCTCGTTAGCGGATATAATCGCTTGCAAAGCAACAGAAACCGTTGGATCTGTAATAGGTCGAAGGGCATTGACAGCACAGGAGGAACATAAGGAATGTCCGCAAGGAAGGAGAACAGGACTAAGAAAGTACCGAGAACAGGAGGGACATCGCAACTCGGGATCCATCTTAGCTATTCCAGAGGATTGGGAACGTCCAGATGAGGAAGAGAGGGTAGAACAACGGTTGGGACTTCTCATCGTTAATGAGGGGACCGTTAGTGTATCCTTAGATTTTGAAGTTGTTCCTGCCATAATTTAAGAGGATTGGCCCATTATTTCCATTCTTTTTTTTAATAATAGGGAAAGAGAAACAAAGCGTGAGTGTCAACACACATATACAAACCGGTCGGTAGTCGCACGCACGAATGGCGTTATCGAAAAGCGTCTGGGCAAACCTGTGACAAGTATGCTTAAGTGCGTCCGTGTGTATGCTTCTACGTTCGTGATTGGTGTCCGTTGTTCGTGGGTGGATACGCATTAATTCACAATGCTGAATTTGCTTAGTTGTGGATATTAAAAAGATGGCTCTCTCTCAACTCATTAGGATTTTCCGAATTTGTTAATTATATCAAAAAATTCAATTGGGACCACAAGAAATAGTAAATTCCTCAGCTCCGTCAACAGATCAGAACAATAATGCAAAGTGCTCAACTGAGACCATACTGATAGCAAGTACCTCAGAACGCTGCAAGAGGATAAATCCGTTAGCCCTAAAATTTGCAAGTTTGTGTACCACGGATCAAGCCTAAATTTTAGTTCGAGAGATTAGCAAATTTGATGCAACTTCCAAAGCACATGGGATGTCCAAAAGTGTAAGACTCTCCTTCAATAACTTGTTGGCAAATAGCAGCGATTTTCTTTGTTCTAATTTTATGGGGGAGAAGTGAAACTAAGTAGGGTTCGTAAATTCTGTTCAACTTATTGTATTAAATTTGGAATAATTGGTCTCTGAAATGTGTGGAAATCGAAGTTTTAAGGACCACAATCTATTAATTTCAAAATCACCTTTTATTTCCTGGGTAAATGCAATAGTGAAAGCTTTACCCTGCCAAAACAATGTCTTTAATAAGCTATTTTGATATTTATATTAAATGGCAGGCGTTTTGATAGCTATCATTAGTCCTTTAGTTGACTTCGGGCTTCACAGAGAGGAAGGAACATCGAAGTGAAAAAAAGTAGAGAGGGGGG